TCAGATGTTGTCCACTTCCCCGAGCTTGCGGGGAGATCTGCGTTCACATGCGGGTCAATCTTGGGTCTGTGTGTGGATGATGCGCTTATGGACTGTGGGTGCGTGTGTAACTCTGCGAGTGGACTGTGAATCTGAGCGTGGATAATCCGCGAGTGGTCTGTACGTGGTGTGTGCGCGCGTGCGTGGACAGATGTGAGTGCGCGCGGACTGTGGGGCTGCGTGTGCGTGCGCTGGTTGGCACGCGCTGGGGCTACTGCTCGGCTCCCGGGCCGGCTCAATGCGCTGTCCGCGGTGCTGACCCGGGCGCACGGACAGACGGGAACCCGCGCCTAGCCTCTGGAGGGATCGCTGGAAGCGGGCGCTGGCCGCGGAGCGGAGGGGCCATATGGAGGAAGCCCCGAGGAGGCCCCTTCCCAGCTCCACGGCGGGCCTCCCTGGGGAGTTGGGGAAACTTCTCCCAGCGGCGGGGTTGGCTCTCCAGACTCGCGCCTCTCGCGCTGGGAATCTTCCTTCCACCCTCGGGGCTGCTACTGCCCCTTTGCCCACCCCACCTCCACCCTCATTCGCCTTCTCTAGATGTCAGCTTCCATCATCAGCCCGCGGACCCCAGAGCCCCTACGGGCACCCGGCGGTCCCTGCGGCCAGGTTAATTGGGCCCCAAGACTCAATGTCCCGCAGAAAGCACGAGTGCGCTAAGGAAAGGGGTGGGTGGAGGGGGGGTCCACAGCCCTTCCCCGTCTGTCCCTCTGCTCAAGCCCGGCGGACAGACCGATCGGCGGCTTCAGACCGACGCTCAACTTTTATGGAACGAGACGTCCACCCGACGGGACGAGCCGGTGGCCGGAGGTCTGAAGCCTGCCCATTTCGAGACATCGAGCTCGCCCGTGCAGATCGAGGCTGCCCTGACTCCACGGGGCCCGGCCTCGGGGCTCAAGTCCTGGACTCTGCGCCACCGGCGGCTTTCCCGGGGGCTCCGAGGCCCGCAGCCCGGGCTGGCCGGAGCGCGGGAGAACTTCACACAGCGCCTCGCGCCGGCCAGGGTGCGGGCGATGCGGAGGACCTGCCCTCTCCTCGGAGCAATGTATCCCCAGCCCCGAAACTGGATGGGCGCCCGGCGGCCGTCGCACTCACCTCGGCTGGCCGAGCTAAGCTGCGCAGAGCCGCGGACGCTGGAGGGGACCCGCCGAAGGGATAGGGGCCCCGCCACGCAGACTTGTCCCTTCGTGGGGGTCTCAGGGGAAGCTCCTCGGGGTGCAGGAGGCCGGCGTTCCCCGCTCGGCTCAGGGCGTGTAGACTACGGACCGCTTGGTGCCAATCTCGGTCCCCGGCGCGCAACCGGAGCACTAAGCGCCTCGGTCGCCTTTTATTCGCCGCCCGCCTTTGTTTGGGTCCCGGCTCCTACCACGGAGTATGGGGGTGTGAGGGACGAGCTCTGGAGCTGAACCGCCCCCCCGCCACTGGTGCCTCCGGCCTCCGCGCCTCCGGACCTTGCGTCATTGGCCGGAGAAGGCCTGCGCTCCTCCGCGTGCTGCCGTCTCCGGAGTCCGCCGCCAGGCGCCGCCGTGGCTGCCTCTCCCCCTGCGGGAGCTGCGCAATGGTACAGCCAGGCTCCTAACGCCGGCGGGTGGGGGCTGCGTGTAGCGCAGCGACCCCTGGGGGTCAGTCCCGGCCTCTGCAAACGGCCCTGGCCAGGCCCCCGCCCCGCCCCCGAGGTTCTGAGGTTCCTAAGTCTCTTCCCAGCCCGCGCTCCTGCGCCTCTCCAGCCGGTTGGCCCAGCCTTGGCAGGTGGCCAGCCTTCTGGACACTCGAGGGCATCCCCGGGTGCCCTCCGGAGGGAGCTGCCAAGCTCAGGCTCCTGGTACTGTGTCTTCCTCTCTCATTCTCCATTCACCTCGCTGGCACCAGAGCCCAGAGCCCTTCCAGTCCCTGGGACCGGGCATCCCTCCAGCGATAGCACACTGTCTGCACACTGACACCCCTGGCCGCAGGGCCACAAGGAGAAGGGGGCTGGAAGCCAAGGCCAGCGGCCTGGCCCCTTTCCATCAGGGCTCAGAAAGTGTTGGCATTGGTGTCACCCGGGGAGAGCCAAGGAGGCTGCCTCAAAAGAGGACCAGCGGCCAGCTCCATCTGCAGGATCAAGAGGTGTTAGTGATAGAAGCCAGAGAAGGGAAGCCATTGCCACTACTGGGTGACCCTGAGCCACGAGTTCCTAACATATGGACAGTGTGTGTGCTGGAGGCGGGCAAGACAGAATCCCTGCCTTCAGGAAGCTTCCAGCCTATGGGAGAGTTATGAAGTGAAATGCCAAGCCCCACACCTGCCCCACACCTGCCCCACACCTGCCCCACACCTGCCCCACGTGGTACAATCCACATTAGCCCCCACCGGAGCATCTAGCCCTGATTTTTATATATACACACATACATATATATATTTATATATATTTATATATACACATATGTATATAGTGTATATATATATATATTTAGCTGTTGATAGACCTTTATTTATGTATTCATATGTGGTGCCGAGAATCGAACCCGGTGCCTCACACATGCCAGGCAAATGTGCTACTGCTGAGCCCCAGCCCCTAGCCCTTATTTTTAAAAGGGGAAAATCAAGGTGGGCCGCCTCTAATTTGGGGTGTTGAGTGAGGTCCCACTCTGTCACCACCTGCCTCTCCTGCTCTCTCTCTGGTGTGCAGTCCCTGAGAGGTGCACCCACTGGCTGGCTGCCAGGTGGACACACTGGTATTGATGACCCTGGGTGCCCGGAGAGCTCATCTCTGCTGACCATCAAGGGACCCACTGACAGGCTGGCTGAGTCTGACAGAGGACCCTCAGTGGCTCCATCCAGCCTTGAAGACATTAAGGTGGGGGTAGGTCCTGGTGTGAAGGGGGCCACTCTGAGCTGCAAACAGAGATCTCTCCAAGTGGAGAGGGTTTGAGTTGCTGCCTTAGGGACAGAGGCCAAATTCTGTAGATGAATACAGAAGGATAGCTCAGCGCTGCCTGCAAAACCTCCAGCCCAATCACCATATCCCAGGAAAGGCGGAGAGGGAGGAGCCCCGGGGGAGGGTGGGGGGAAGGAGACCAGGAAAAGGCTGGTTTTTAAGGAGCCCTGGCGGCACTGTGTGTGCTCCCTGGCCCAGCCGAGATCACAGGGTTTGCTCTGCTGGGGTGAATGGCTGGCTTCTCTTCAGTTTGTTTTAAGGCTGCTTCCAGAAGGTTCCTCAAAGTCCTCCAAGGCCGCAGCGCCGTTCCTGGCAGTGAGATGAACCCACGGGGCACCCTGTCGTGGTCCTGTGATGCTGTGCCACCCTCTGCCCATGCCTGGGGATGCAGCGCCCCCCCCCCAGAGTATTTTTAGTGAACTTGATAAGGGTCCTGGTGAAGTTCTCATGACCTTCAAAGGGGTCCTAGCTTCCTTCTGCTTAGCTGGCTGGACCTGTGTCCGCCTTGGTCACACATTCCTCAGAGCCCTCTCTGGCCTCTCAGGACCCCCAGATGACCTGGTGGGAGTGGGCTTGCCTGCTCCTGGTAAGGAGCTTCTTTGAAGGGAGGGGGCAGAGGCTGGGACCTAGGGAGGCGGGAGCAAGTGGGGACGGTGGTGGCCTGGAGCTGGAGAGAGGTAATCTTCCCAGGCCATCAGCCGGGTTTTAAAAATGCAAATGGAACCAGGCCTTTGAAATACGCCTGCTGTAAAGGGACCATGTGGCAGCAGGGGTGGGTGCCGGTGTGGAAAGTCGTGAGATCCTCTCCTGGGGCCTGGCTGCAGGCTCCCTGCTCCTCCGTGGGTGGGAGGGGGGGGGTGGTCACAGGCCTGGGAATACTGGACTAGGGGACCTCTGCCCTACCTCAGGGCACTTCCCCAACCCCACTCCTGACCTCCAGGCGCACATCAGGGCAGACTCCAGTGGCCTCCGACTTGGCCCTATTGAAAAGCTGCAGAGAATGAGGTTCTGTCTCCTCTGGGTCCCCATCCCTGTGCTGCCTGGGGGAAGTTCTTCCAGGGTCTTCCAGGGTAGGTACAGACAAGCTCCTTCCCTTGTGACTAATTGAAACCCCTTCTTTTGTGAGGGGAACAGCCATAAAAGGCTGCTTTGTTCTTAGCTCTGATCCCTTTATTTCTCCTCTGTCTTCCCCCCAGTGATGTCAGAGCCAGGCCTCAGACAGACTCCACTCTTTTCAAGAAAGCCATCTTTCTGTTCCACCCCTTGCCAACTGTGTGACCTTGGCAAAGTCACTTCACCTTGCTGGGCCCCAGCTGCCTTGTCTATAAAGGGGGGGGGAGAGTGGAAGTAACTGTCCCATAGTAGTGACTACAAGGAGCTCATAAAGGGTGAAAAAAGAAATCTGTGCAAAAGTAGCATTTAGCACGCTGCAGAGCACATACCAAGCTTTAAATAAATATTACCGCCGTCTTTGCATTATCACCACCTGCTGGTGAGAGCTGACCAAATCATCTCTCCCTTCTTTGCCCCGGTGAGGGGGTTGTGTGCAAATGGAGTCCTCCCACCAGATGGTTGAGCAGCTGAGGATGGAGCATATGGGGAGTGTTGGGAGTGTTTATCTTCAAAAATATGGTAGATTAAGACATTGTCCCAGCACCCGGGAGCAGAATAAATACATGTATAAGTAGGTCCCATTCCAAGCCGCTAACTCTCTGACTCTGGAGGTCCTGACCCCAGCTCCAGCCTCCCCTTCTCCAGGAAGCAGTGTGGGTGTGGGGGGGTGCTGCAGAGAGCTCGGATTGAGGGAACTGGGGTTGATTTTTCTACGGGTCTTTTATTAGCTGCATGACCTTGGACGAGTCGTTTCGTTTCTCGGCGGCGATTCCATTTCCTCATCTTCAAAATGAGAGTCCTAAGGACCTCTGCCTCTAATATGCCTGCAATTACCTCTTCAGCAGAAGTGGGCCACATTTATAGGTAACAGTTTGATAATCAGTTCTATATATAGTTGTAATTGTATATCGTTAGAAAGATATATGATAGAAGGATCAATTCTGTTTCGGTGATTTTCAGGGTTGATTGCACTTCATATGACATAATGGATGTAAAAGAGCTCAGGAAACTCGCCCAAGTTCACAGTGAATGAATCTCTGACTTGAGGTCATATAGGAAGTCATCGGAAGAGCTTAGGTTGGCTGTCAGGCGTCCCGGGGCCCGGGCCTGAGCTCCCCTGGAAACCCCCTCTTCCCTGAAGCTCTGTCCGGGAGTTACCTGTGAGCTGATGGAGAAGAGCGCCCACAATGGGAGAGAACAGGAGGAGTCTGGGGGAGGGCAATCGAGTCGGGTGGGGAAGGGGTGCTCCAGACAGGGCCTGGGCTTGACAGATGGGAAGCCCCCTCCGCCTGCTCCCCCAGAATCCTGCCAGCAGCCAGGCCCGGCTCTCCTTTCCCAGCCTCACTGCCTCCTCCAAGGAAGCCGGCAGCCTGTGCCAGAGTGAATACAATCCAAGTTATTAATTGCCTGCAACAATTAGCCCCAGCGCCTGGGCCTGCAGACGCCCAGGCTCTGAAAGAGGGAGCCAATTACAGCTTCATCAATATTCACACTGCCGCACAACCCTCTCCCGGCAAGATGGCCCCCGCGCCCCCACCCGTGTTTCCAGGGCCCTTTGCTCTGACCCCAACCTCTGCAGAAAGCCAGCTATGGCTGAGGCCCTAGAGAGTGGAAGTCAATGCAGGTGACGTCGGAGGGGCATTTCACATGGGGACCAGGGCCCTGGTGGGGAGGAGCAGACTCCCGCCCTAGAGCTGGACAGCATGCCCTTAGCCAAGGACTGTCCCCTTGGCTAGGAGGGGGGAAAGTGCAAGCTCCACATCGGGGTGTTGGTAGACCCCAGGGCCCTTATCCCAG